AGGATGACGCTGATGTGGCCAATTGATCTGTTTTAGCATTCTCAACACAAGGTACCTGATAGAATTCGATCTGATCGAATCCCCGTGCAACGTTCTCTACAGTTTCTTTATATGCTTTCATTCTCTCCTCTTTGGGATGGTACTGACCTATCACTTGATTTATAACAAGCTGTGAGTCACTAAAAATCTTTAAGCAACGTACCTGGAGGCTGCTAGCCAATCGAAGACCAGCAAGTAATGCCTCGTACTCGGCCTCATTGTTCGTAGCCGGGAACTTCAAACAGATAGATTGCTGTAACTTGGTGCCTTCGGGTGTTGACATTACAACGCCTACCCCTGCACTTGCTTAATTCGAGGAGCCATCGACTCGAAGTTCCCACTGTGGTTCAGGGTGTACCGGCCCTTTAGGAGTGTCTTCATACTCGAGAAGAAAGTCTGCTACGGCTTGTCTTTTGTGCGACACCTTTAGCTCATAAGTTATGTCGAAGGAACTAAGCTCGATAGTCCACTTGGTAATTCTCCCAAATAAATCGGGCTTAGAGAGTATACCCCGTATAGGATAGTTGGTGAGTACCACAATGCTATGAGATTCGAAATAATGCCGAAACTTCCTCTTGGCATAGATCAAGGGTAAGATGACTTTTTCTGCTTTACTATATCACATCTCCGCATCTGTCATGGTCTTACTTGTGTAGAAGACTGGATATTGCCTCTTTCCTTCCTTTCTAATCAATGCTGCACTTGTCGCTATATTAGAAATTGCCAAATACATAATAAGAACCTCCGCGGGTTTTGGAGCGGATAGAATTGGTGGTTCGGCCATGTAACCTTTCAACCGACTGAGGGCCTCCTGCTGCTGAGGTCCTGTAATACCCCTAATTTTAAAAGGATAGTCTCGGCATTTATTTATTATTTTTATTTTATTTTTGCATGATTATTTGGATTAATTATTTTTATTTATTGTTTTGATGTAATTGTTTACCTATGTGTCATGTGTTTTAAATTAAATTAAGTTATCTTTTATTCTTTAATTGGCATTTTATTGTTTAAGTGTTTTAATTATTTAATTGGGTTATTTGATGGGAATTAATTAGTTAAGTGGATTTAATTATTTAATTATTTTTTTTCATTTAATTCTGTGTTAAGTTACAGTTAAATTTAGGGTTGCAATTACATAGGTGGCCGACGTAGGTATTTATCTTAGGTCGGTTTATGGGCCGAGATGGGCTCTGGCTTTAAGGTTACATGGATTAGGGTTTAATCACTAAGCCTATAAGTATGTGTGTCACGGTGGTTTAGGGTTTGAGAATAATTAAACGTAATTTCTGTAAAAACAACAGAGACCGTGAGATACAGAGAGAGAGAAACAGAGAGTAGTTGTGGGAAAACAGAGTGAGGCTTAAGAGGATTTGTACAGAGAGGACCAAGGAGGTTGAGTAAGGATTAGAGGCAGAGTTATAGGAAGCTTGGCGACGTTCAGAATTGCAGGAAAACTTAGAGACGACACAGGGATTTCACAATTGAAATCACAGGCAAGTTCTTCTCTTTCTCCTTCCCTTTGGCTCGTGTTCTGTGCACCTAGATAGTCTCTAGGGATTAACTAATTAGTAAATGAAACTTATGTGTTCAATGTATGCTTGTTGATGATTTGTTTGCATTGAATCCAAATCTGTTTATAGTTCGTGTATTTGCTGCTTCCTGTTCTGTTCATTAAAGCAGATTAAAAGTCTGTTGAGTTTTAGTTATGACTCTTGCCTCTATCTTCTGTAAACAAACCCTAGGGATGTTAATGGGATGTTATAAGACTCCTAAGATCAGTTTGTGAAGAGAAACAGAGAGGTTGGAATAGAATTATAATTTCAGTTTTGTTCCTAACGCAGGTTAGTTCGGTAGCAAATTTAATCTCTGTAATTGTTTTTAATTGTTGTTATCAAGCCATTGGGATGCTACTGGGTATTAATATGACACCTAAGTTTGGTTTTAAAAACTAACAGAAGGTTAGGAATAAGCCGGAGAAGGAGCACAAGAGCTGAAACGACGCACCGGGGACGAAGGCTCTCAAAGGAGGTGAGAGCCGGCTCCATAGAAGTGGGAGCCAGCTCCCACAACAAAGTAGAGCCGGCTCTAGGGAGCCCTAGAGCCGGCTCTAGGCTGGAAAAGAGCCTGCTCCAAATTCTGGAGCAGGCTCCCTTGCTATTTTTGTTTTATTTTAAGTTTTTTTTTTAATTTTCTACGTACTATGTTCACTGTTAGAGCATGGAGACTATTTGAATGAATTTGGAACTTTACAGAGGGATCAAGGAATGAATTTTGAGTGTTATTAAGACCCTAAATTGAGTAAAGTTTAATTCTAAGTTGTCGGGACAAACAGTGTAAAAATTAAGGCACTTAACAAATGGAAGTTGAATTAATTGTTGAATTAAAATTCAGCAATTTGATGGAACATAATGTGTTTATAAAACTTGTTTTAGAATGAATTCAAGTGCATGATAAGGTCATTTAATTATTAATTTTGATCTATGCATGCTTAGGAGGCTAGTTGCTGAATTATTAAATTGTTTACTGCAACTATATGGTTAATGCTTGGATTTAAACTGCTGAAATATTTAAACAATCTTCTGAATTGTTTTAGCAATTTATTGGTTAATAATAGGATTATTTAACCTATTCACATGCATGATGGAGTCCCTGACATATTAAATTTGGTCTATGCATGCTCTGGATGTTAATTGTTGATTTGTTAAATCGTCTCCTGCAACTATATGGTTAAATGCTTGGATTTAAATTGCTGAAGCTTTAAATATTTTTCTGCAATTATTTGGATGGTGGTTTTTGGTCTGTAAATTATTGAACTGTTATATATGTTGTAATTTACATGGATATGGAGGATGGTATGTACCGGTATGGGACGGTGACATACTAGGGACGGTTTAGCTCAAAACGCATAAACCTAACCTAATGGATTAATGGAATGGATTGAAAGATATCGAATCCTAATTGTGACTAAGTCAGATCAGCTGTAACCAAGTTGGATGACTTATTGGATTAACGGATGGTAGTTAAGTCATATCAACTGAATAAGTTGAATGACTAACTAGTTAGTTTATTGTATGTCAGTTTAATAAATAGTTTATTGAACTGCTTACCCTGGATTTGGACGGACTTTATATATATGTTTATGGTACCACGAGTTGAGCTTGAGTCTCAGACTCGTTGGTTAGGGTGCGTATATGCAGTGGATGCGTAGCTGGTTATAATAGGTTGAGGTGTACCCTGTTAGGTTTAGGTATTCATGCCCACCTTTGGGTGCGTATTCGCATGTTGCCTTCTATTCAGGTTGAGACCCCTATTATAGACTAGTGAATGTCTCTTAGTGTGGATATATTTATACGTATGGACTAGATAGATATTGTGAGGTGTCTATGGTGTATCTGCGTATCGGGTCACTGTATGGATTGCAGTTAGATTAGAACTTGCTCGTGGGTCTGACCCACTCATTTATTATTCTTTTCAGGTACAGGACGGTTCCAGCCTTAGAGCTTGATCGTGCTTGTCGAGGACAGTCTCACCTTCATCTGATTACGTAGGACTTCTCCTGATATTTCTAGCATTATCTATTTTCAGTTTTCAGTTTCTGTTGAACTTTTGGTTAGGGGTCTATCAGTGGATTCCCGAGTTGTAACCTTGAAGTTTTGGAGGATTGGAGTTTCAATTTTCAGTTATACATGGAGGATTTTATAATTAATGTTTCTTTCAGTTTTATTCCATCTTTATTATTTCATTTTGTCATCTGTGTTCGCTTTAAATTACTTTAATTGTTTGATATTCCCTCGGGTTTGGGCCTGGGCCTGATCAACCCGTGTCTCGGATCCGAGGGGTATCATAGGTCCCCATATATCTTTATTCTTAGATCGTATAGCATCGAAGAATGGTCTGCACTTATCTGACAATTCGGATATAAACCGACTGAAGGCTGCGATCCGACCAGTAAGAACCTGCACCTCCCTATGATTTTTTGGTTCCTGATTCTGGATGAGGGCCTTAGCCTGAGCCGGACTTACCTCTATCCCTCTTTTATTCACTATGTGGCCGAGGAATTGACCTGATGATATCGCAAAAGAGCACTTGGATGGATTCAGCTTCATGTTGTACTTCTTCAAGGTATTGAAAACTTCCTGTAGATGCTTCGGATGATCTTCTTTCTTCACACTTTTAACCACCATGTCATCTATATATGCTTCAACTGTCTTTCCCAGTAGATTATCGAATATCTTGTTAACAAAGCGTTGATAAGTAGCTCCAGCATTCTTCAGTCCGAAGGGTATGACCCTGTAACAATAACTCCCATTTTCTGTAATAAAAGCCGTTTTTTCTTCATCTTCGGGGTTCATAGGAATTTGATTGTATCCTGAGTATGCATCTAGGAATGTCAGCCTCTCGTAGCCAGTGGTAGCATCAACCATCTGGTCTATCTTAGGCAGAGGGAAGCTATCTTTAGGGCAGTCTTTGTTGAGGTTGGTATAGTCTACACAAACCCTCCATTTTCCATTCTTCTTTTATACGACTACCACGTTTGACAGCCACTATGGATATTGCACTTCTCGAATGAAACCTACTTGCAAATATTTGCTCACTTCTTTAGCTATAATGTGATTGCATTCAGGGGCAATCCTTCGGTGTTTCTGCTTAACCGATTTGAACTTTGGATCCACCTTCAGACTATGGCAGGAAACTAAGGGATCGATCCCTACCATGTCCGAGTGATCCCACGTAAAGGTATCTGCATTGCTCCGGATAACATCAATTAATGCTTCCTTTTCTTCGGACGTGGAAGAAGAGCCTAGATAAGTAACCTTCTAAGGGTTGCCGAGAATAACTTCCATGGCTTCAAGGGTCTCCTCGGTGGGCTTCGCAATTTCCTCTTCCTCCTCTACCTTAAGATACTTGGGCAGAGGGCTCTGTAATTGCTATTTGGGTCCAGTTTTGGAAACCACACCTGGTTACTGTTGAGTTGACACCCTCTTCGCTTTAACTTGTGTCAACATATAGCATTCCTTCGCTGCGACTTGATCGCCCCACAGATTAATTACTTCTTTCCCGTCTGGAGATAAGCACCGCATCACCTGGTGAAGGGTGGACGGAACTCCTCTCATCCGATGTATCCAGCCTCTTCCCATGATGAGATTGTAAGAAGGATGGATCTCTGTTAAAACAAAGTTCTCCTTCAGAGTCCTCTTCGCTGTGGTTACGGACAAGTTTATTACTCCAAGGGGATCTACTCTTGTGCCATCGAATCCCATCAACGGGCTGGAGGTAGGTTGAATAGATGATGACGGGATCTCTAACTGATCAAAGACCGTCTTTGTGATTATGTTGGCACTACTTCCTTGATCTACCAAAACCCTCCTGATCATACAATTGGCCACTAAAAGACTGATGACCAATGGATCCTCGTGGGGGAGTTGCACTCTGGATAGGTCACCATCTCCGAATCCAATACTGATGCTACTCGAATTGATAGCATTGACCGAGGATATCTTCCTGAGCTTGTGGGTTGCCCTCAGTCTGGATCTGTACACCTCCTCGGACTCTTGATCATCTTCAGACCTGCCATGTATTGCATGGATGACTTTTACTTGCGTATCTTCCACCTTGCGGGGATAGACCTCGCGGGGCTTTGCATACTCCTTTGTCATGAGGTAATCCGTCAACTCACCTCTGGCGATCATATTCTCCACCTGTCGCCTGAGGGATCTGCAATCATTGGTCGGATGCCCATAATCTCGATGATAAGCACAATGCTTGCTTTTGTCCCTTTACTCCAGGGGTTACTTTATTGGCTGCGGAGTTGTGAACTTCGTCTTATTCTCTTGGAAGAGCCGAGCCAAGGTAGTTCGGAGAGGTGTAAATCCTTCCTCTACCATTTGCCTTTTTTCAGGTGCCTGGGTGACCGGCGTTGAGGAACGTTAGCTTTTTTGAATCTTTGGAGTTGGAACTCTTTCTCGAGGCTTATTTTCCACTGTCACGAGGGTGGCGTGCTGCGCTCGGTAGGCTATATTTTCCTCAAGCCGAATGTAGATCTGGGCCATAGCATTTAGAGTCTACATATCGGGAGGAGAATACTTGACTAAGGAAGTGTGGAACTTCGTCCCCTGAATCATCGCGAGTTTAAATGTCTCTATAGCAGTTGCGGGATGACAATCCGCTATTTCTGAGGCCTCCATGTTGAATCTTGACAAAAAATCCTATAATGTTTCCCCCCTTTTCTGCCTTACGGTGAAGAGGCTGGCAATGCTCTTCTTTTACTTCTTATTTCCGCAATACTGTGCCAGGAACATGGTGCATAGAGTTACGTAATCCGGGATGGACTTATGTGGTCTATTCATGAACCACTCTAGTGCTGCTCCTGTCAAACTGGTAGGAAAAACTCTACACATCCAAGGGTCATTAAGATCATCCAAAGCCATCTTTTGAGCGTAATGATCTAGGTGCCGAGAAGGAACCCCTGTTTCATCAAACTGGGTGAAAGAAGGCATGGTAAATTTCTTGGGCCTCTCAATCAGATACACATCGTCAGTGAAAGGAGTTTTATATAAGGAATTTTTGTGTTCTCTAGCCATCTCGGCAGGTGTCTGAATCTTCAGGAGTCTCTTCTCGTCAAAGGCATCCTGAACACCTCCTCTATCTGGGATTCCATTGGACCACACCGTAAGCTTATGGCTGGATTCGACTTGTTCATCCTGCGTGCGACGAGGGACGTTATCTAAAGCCGCACCCTCGGATCTTGCCTTCCGTTGTTGCTGAACCTCATTCGGCTGAACCTCATTAGGTCGTGCCCCATTAGGTGGAGCCCCATCAGGCGGAAGTCCAGTAATCGGAGGAATATTCTGACTAGGGGGTACTGCTGTGTCACCCACTGGCGGCGGTGGTGCCAACTGAGCCAGCGCCATTTGCAGAGTGTTATTCTGCTGTTGAAGCAAGGCGATCTGAGCCACGCTTGCTTCATTTGCCTGATGGAGTACGTCAAACTGGTGTAAAAACTCTTCATGCATCTTTTGCATCAACTCTGTCTGTTGACCCGCTGAAGATCCTCCGTTCGACATTCTGGATGGTAACTGCAGGATTCACTTGTGAAACAAAAACAAGAGTGGGAATATATTTGCACACGTTTCCCACAGACGGCGCCAAAGTGTAGGTGCAAAATTTCGCCCAACCAATAATGATTAACAGAAATAACACAACTCACTCAATAAATAATAAAAATAAACAAGAAAAGTGTATAGAGAGGCGTAGAATTGCTTGATCCCTTTATTGGAGGTCTAGGCCTCTATTTATATACAAAAGTTAGAAGAATTATGGTAGGACTCGCGTTACTTGTCCTCTAATTCTTTCCATATATAAATTTATTTACAAATAGAATTCTTTCCTCTTTATAATTCTTCCCTTACCAGATTTTCCTTACGTAGAACTTGCTTCCTTTGGTGAATCATTTTCCTTGTAGTACCGGCTCCTTCTTTAAATGGATTTGGGCCGCATTTAACTTGGTCCACATGACTCTGTTCATGGGCTAGAAGTTTGTCATTAGTGACATTGGGCTGCTGGCATCTTGATTCGGGCTTTAGTAAAGCTGGTAGTTAGATAACAGAAGTTTTGGGCTAATGACCAACTCAACTTGAGCTTTTGATGAGATGGGCTTTGAACTTTATCGAAGATAAAGTTATATCTATGATGACGTGGACTGCTCTTATTGAAGGGAGATTTTTCCCTCCACATAGATGATATTTGTTTTTATATTTTTATATTACAGACTTCTTGGTGCAAAATATACACTATTTGTAAAAAGAGAACATGTTTTTCTGTTTTATTTATTTAATTATTTTACAAGATAATTTATATGTGGACAGGTCCAAAGAGAACATAAATAACAAAGATATAAGAAGTTTGATTTCCAGTACAAAAGATCAAAAATTCAATGGTGCTGAAAAAGTCAAACTTTAAGACATAATAGGAAAATCTACAATGTCCTTTGAGGTATTAAATTTCAGTATATTTCTTAATCTTTCTTAATTGTGTATCACATTTTTGTATTCAATTTATATATTGAGAAGTTATATTTTGTTGCACAACCTGCAGAAAATAAATTACTGTTTCAAAGCAACAATTGAAAATGTCGTTAATGACCGCGAACCGTGGTACGATGCCTGTGAGAAATGCAACAAGAAAATAAAAGTTGAAAAAGATAGAGTATACTGTTCTCGATGCAACACAACAGACCCAAAATGCATTCAAAAGTATTATTATATCCTAAAACCTTATTATTGTATTTGTTTCAATGGTTTAATAATATTACAAATACATAATTCTTTGTCTTTACTCATATGCAGATTCATGATGATAATTAAAGTGCGAAGTATGGAACATATTGCAACACTTACAACCCTAACAGTGTTCAATGATTGCCAAACATTAATAAATTGTTCACTAAATGATTTACTACAATTACAAATTAAGGTAAATTCCTACCCTTATTCATAAAATTTTAATTAAATTAAAAAAAAATACTTACTTGAATTTCTCAATAGCTCTAAATTATATTTCTTCTTTCTGCAGGACATGGATGAATTCAACAACAAAGTGACAAGCTGTAAAGGAAAATCTTTTTCTTTTTCTGCTGAAGATAGACAATACTCAACAACAAATCGTGAAAACTTATTTTGCGGTGGAAAAATTAAAAGAATTGACACTTGACAATGATTCATTTCATGAATAAATGAGATATGCAAAAAAGATAAAGATTGAGAAATAAATAATTTAGGAATACTTTTATTTTCAAACAGTTATAGTTTTGGATTTTCTAATATATTTTGTTTTTTTTTTAGGTGACAATTATTACAATCTAAACATTGTTGGTACCCTTTCGGATTTTATAATATATAGAATTTTTATATAGTATTTATTTATGAATGTTATGTAAATTATAGAATTTTAATTTTCATATATTTTTTTAAATGCTTATAGTTTTCATTCATTCATTAATGGAAAACCTTATTTTGTTTCTTTTGAGGTGACAATTATTACTCTCTAAACATTATTCATATGAATACTTTTATTTTCAAAGAGTTATAGTTTAGAAATTTATTGAGATGACAATTAATGCATTCTAAACATTGTTGATAAAACATTCAACATGTGCATCGCACGTGCATTTTACTAGTATATATATATATATGGTGGGCATTTTCCTCTTCCTTGTTCAGTTCTGGCCGGGGAGACTGACAATTTACCACGTTCTCAGATAACGTGTTGTTACTTACTATTACAATCTTTTCAACCTTCAAACCATGCTCAGTACTTCTTCCAGATCCACTCTTAGTCCTCACATGAGAACAGCTTTTAGATTCTGATTCAGTACCAGACTCCACACGTCCATCCTTACCACCTCAACAGACTACCCCAATACCAGTTTCAATCTCCACCCTTTCAAACCCATCTCCATACTTGATTTTTTCTTTCTTTTTCTTATCCCTATTCTTCTTAGCCATGTATGTTTCTGGGTGGATGTGTATATTCAGCAGACTCCCCATTGATGCGGTCCGCAGATTGGGGGAGAGAGATTAGATTAGGGCTTTCTCTTTCTTGAAAGAGGTTTTTTATTTTTTTTCATTCTCGGTAGAAGTTGCACACCAAGGTACAAGAACATTTTTATTTGTTTAAATATATATACTGTTACCCAAGAATTGACTCTAGAGGGGGGGTGAATAGAGTCAATGGCCAATTTTCGCAAATTATAGAAATACAATTTCTAATCAATAGTATAACCAATTATGTAATAAACAAGATATGCAAGTAATCAATTTAGCATAACTGTAAAAGAGATAAGGGAAGAGAAATTACAAACAATAACACGGCGATTTTTGCGAGGTTCGGAAACTCCTACTCCTCGGCTCAAGATCCCTCTTGAGACTTCCCAAATTCCTTAGAGCTTCTCCTTAATGGTGGAGAGCAAACCTTCAATTGAAGCAAGACCTTGCTTCTCTTTCTTGCTAAGAGAACACCCTTCTCCTAGGCTTTCTTTTGGGTCACACCAACCCTTTACAGTATCCTTGCTAAGAGACCACCTCTCTTAGTTTTACATAGGCCATACTAACCCTTACAATATCTTTGCTAAGAGAAACTCTTCCTCCTAGGCTTACAGCAGATTTGTAGATAGAATTTGTATTACAAGAAATCCTCTCAAAAACTGATACAAATCAAACCTCACAATAGAGTATATATGAAATCAAGTAAAGCTCAAACTCTAAGTATGAAATGTATGAGAGATGATGAGGAAAATACAGAACAAAAGCTCTGATGAAATACTAAAACAAAAGTTCAGCAAAGGCTCACTAAATGCTCTCTGAAGTTCACTCTGATTCAACTATGGAAGCTTATATATGAGACAAAAATCGATGTCTGAATAGAAGCTCTATAAGTGAGTACAACCAGAACAAAAGCTCTGTATAATGGTAGAGCCAAAAGCTTTCTTTGATGCACTTGAATGAATGTTCTTGAATGCTCTCTCAAGTAGTATATGAATGAATGAGAGAGATGAGGAGAAGATATGAGAACAAAAGCTCTCTTTGCAATGTAATATGATGTCTCTTAAAATTGTGTGTTCTTTTTAGACGGGCCCTCTGTATATATAAAGAAATTCATAGCTCAATATAGCTGTTAGAAGTGGTTAGAGGAAATAAATGCAGAAAAATTGCGGTTGTAATTCAAAACCCTTAAAGGAGCCGGCTCTTTGCAAAAGTGGAGGCGGTTCAATTTCAAATGGAGGCGGCTCCATCAAAAAAGTGGAGCAGGCTCTTTTTCTGAAATGGAGACGGCTCAATAGAAAATTGGAGCCTTCTCTAGTTTTGTAGAGCCTTCTCTACTTTCCTGAGCCTTCTCTAATTTTGGTAGAGCCCTCTCTAGTTTTTCATTGAGCCTTCTCTACTTTCCTAAGCCATCTCTAATTTTGTAGAGCCTTCTCTAGTCTTTGAGAGAGCTGGCTCTATTTCTTATAGAGGCTGCTCTTGCTTCATGAAGGCTGCTGCTAAATTGGACAGAAAAAAGTGCATGACTTCAAATGGACATAACTCAGTCCATGAAACTCCAAATGAGGTGAAATTTGAGTCTAAATTTATTGTCTTGAAGTCAGCTATCTAAAACCACTGGCCTTGCTCAAAAATTCCAACCATAG